TTGGGAGGCATGAAGCGTTCATGGTAACAACCTTACAACAACAAACAAATTCATGATGCATTTGATTAATGATTTTTAGAGCTTCCTCTAATTAAATTCTGGGAACCCTTTACCACTGACAGAAATAATCCTGCATCTATCAAAGAACTACCTGGAAGGTGGGACAAGGAACCCAAGATAGCAATCAAGCACTATGGCCTGGTACCACTGACCAGAATGAGACCTTAAGGTCAGTGAAATGCTCCTTTAGGGAGATATCTATGTGGCTGATGGTATAGGTTACTCTCTCTCTCTTAGATAGTTCAAGGCAAAGATGTAGGAGCTTTTAGGGGAATGTTTAGGAGCTCTGTTCAGAATTTGGGGGGTTTCAGTAACATTCATGAGCAGATCTCAAAATACTAAAAGATGTGATGGCTTTCTAGATGAGGATAGAACAATAATGTAAGGCAACATACTGGGACTGTACTTGGAAACAGAAAGGAAGAAAAAAGTGTTAAAAAAATCCAAGCAAAAATACAATAAACCTCCCTGATAACAATCACATTAAATGATACCATAAATTTGAACTATCTGGCATATCAAGGGTTATGAACTGTACCTGGAATCTTGCTCACACTTGAGCTAGTAAAGCAATGGACATGTGCATAGAGGTTAAAGTCTAAGTTAGCTCAACTCATCAGTGGCAAATCAATTGCATCTGTTAATGGATTTATCTTGTGCTATCCATTGCACTTCTCTGTGTGTCTTGAGTGTTGTTCTCAGAGTGGCTGTTCTGAATTCAAACTAACTAATGCAATAAGATAAGACCTAATACAGACCTGGCATAGGTTATACTGGAGCCAGTTAACTGGATTTCGTAGCTTCAGATGTTCCCTGCCTGTTCTCACATTAGAACCACAAGTAAAAGAGTGCAGGTCTATTACAACTGTATCTTTGGAGAAAAGATATTTGGTTTATAAAATATATTATTGTATTAAGAGTTTTTAAAAGTGTGATTACAGCTCTTTGTTCTGGTTAAATAAAAGATTTGCTATTTCAAATGCCATATTTATGTTATCTTCACTTTTTTTTTAATTACAGAATGACTCATTCACACCAAACTATGGTAACCTTGAAGAACAACAGGCATTTGTACCAGGGAAAAACAATTCAAGGAAGATTAGAAAAAAAAAAAGTAGTTTGATACTCATTCCTTTAAAACAAATTAGCTATTTTATCATTATATTTTGAATTAGTTTAGATACCACCAATTTGTTCTTTGGTATTGGACATTTTACTTTGGATTTTGGATATTTATGTATACAGGCTTAACAAAATTATAAACATATCTTTAAAAGATCAATCAGTGAATTGAAATTAAAATATCAGAAAGCTTTCCTAATGCAAATGGCTGACATAACTTTGTAGCAGTTATAGTTATCTTAATCAATTTAGAATTGAAGGCAGACTAATACTATTGGTATGTTTTTGGCTCCTTTGCAATCTGTTTTATTAGTAATTTATTCAACAAGTAGACCAACTTCTTAACCCACAGAGTAAGGTACTATTCTGCCTAAGGAAGGGTATCAGAAATGGACCCACATTTAATAAGAAAATAATCATAATTCTACCATAAAAATATTATTATCTACTTGTTAATGCCCTTGTTTTCAAATATCAAATAAAATAATATTGTTAGGCACAGCTGGCTTCAAAGGTAGTTGATACCATGTCAGAAAAAGAGGGTAAGGCAAATTTCAGAGCGTACACAAGTTGAGGAATAAAAATTACGATTTTGTGAGTTCCATTGGTGAATTTCTACTATAATTAAAGGTAGCAAATCACAATCCTCATTTTTACAGCTGGTGAGTCTTGAGATGCGGAGAAAATGAATCTTTATCTGAGGTCAAACAGCAAGTTAATGATGAAGGTAAGATCAGAATTGATTACAAACTCTTAGGACCAACCCTACAGTCTTTCTTTCTTAGATGCATGAGTATAATGAAGGGTGATTTTAGATTTTAACAAAGGTTTTTTCCACTTAATTTAAGAGAGAAGGTGAAACAATTAATTAGCCTTTCCAAGTCTCAGAGGTTTACAAGGCTTCCTCTGGTGGAAAAATTGACATACAACTTTCTCCTTCTGGACTGTTTTTTTTTTTCTTTCAAAAATTCACCTGTGTTACTTCCCCCCCCCCCATTTTTAAACTTTTTTTTCTCCAGACCTTTTTTTTTTTCTTTCAAAAATTCCCCTGTGTTACTTCCCCCCCCCCCAATTATCAACATTTTTTTCTCCAGCACTCTTTCTCTCTACTTTAATCTTATTTTAAAGTAATAGTGTTAAATCTGAGAAAATGTTTTCATGAAAACATACAATGATTCTGATAACACAAGAATTTGTCTTAAAAGCAGGTCAGGCATAGGGAACTTGGGTTACCTTCAGAAGAAAAGACATTTTTTCAGAGGAAAAACACACATATACTCTTACAGGGTAAAGTGATCCTGCAAAACAGTTCTTTTTTTTCTATGCTTCACATACCATAATGAATTAACCTGTGGAACTTATTGCAATTAGAGAGCCTTGAGGCCAAAGTTTGACTGAAGTCAAACCAATGAAATGGAACTCATATGCTCCAAGCTCAATATTTTGTTCTCAAATAACTGCTTATATTACATTGCTGGATGAGTCATTCCTTTTCTTTCTTCTTAAGATCTCATTTGGGAATAAGTCTATTTTATTTCTCCCAAGCTTTCCATATCTAGTCTATTAGATTTTTTTGCTGAATTCCCAGAGCGAGCAGCCTTGCCATTCTACCTCTTCTTATGCACTCTGCGCTGCCTCCATCGTGAGTCTTATCATGCCCCACACTGCTCCTTCTGCAAGCCCAGCAGCTTACCAGGCTCAGAGCATTGGCAGTATTCTCCCTGCTGTCACCACTGTGAGCCTTGTCAGCTGCAGGGCTGGCAGTGTGGGGTGCACCCCTGTGGCTGAGAGCCCACAGGTTGATGGGGCTTCCAGCCATACGGGAGCACCTGGCCACAAGTTCAATTAATGACATGAAAACAACAAGGTACAAAGTTACTAGACATTTTTTTAGGGGTAACTTGTAGCTTGTTGTTTGTTTTAGCATGCCATTAATTGGTTGAACGGGTGGCTGGGTCATAATTTAAAGTCTGATTAACTGGTGAATCTCACCTTAAATGTAACATGTAGCTGGGGCCAAAGCATTAAAGGAGCAAGGTTTTTGACAGGGTAGTGGGAGCAAAAGAAAACCAAGCAATGTTTATGATAGAGCTTGATAAGTTTTTACAGTTATATACAATTGTCTGTAATAGCAGGAAACTGTTCCCAGTGACCTGGTAGATCCCTTCCAGTCCTATTTTTCTATATTTTTACTTTACAAGAACACTAACAATGATGGTAGGCACAAAACTGAATCCAGGTTTGGTTTGAAAGTCCATAGGATTCTTAAGAGACTAATGCTTTCCTGAGGTCCCTGGACACAGGAAGTACAGTGAGCAAAATAAACTGGATATGGATGTTGCCTTATTATTCGGTACCCAGCAAGGGCAGTGAGTAGGAGCTGTTCCCTTCAGAAGAACTCAGGGAAGCTGTTTGTGCCTAAAAATCCATCATCACAGAAAATTCACCGCAGGGCCTGTGCCCCTGTGCTGCTTCTCAGCTTTGAATATCTAAGTGCTGCCTGTGTGCCTCTGTCACTCTTCAATGTACTTCTCAGGTTGAAGCGCAGGTGTTCACCTAGGGGTGAGGAAGCTACAAAAAGTTGACAATTTTGGAGTGAACCTATCTGGGCACAGTTCTAATGGAGTGAAAGACAATATTTTGAAGACCAAGAACCTGCTCCTGTGGAGAAGTACAAGGGCCTCTGTGGTTTGGGAAATGTGACAAGCAGAGTGCACACTCTCTCTTTTGTGTCTTTCTGAATGTGTGCACTGATTTCTGAGGAAGTGGAAAGGAATACTTAGCCCAAAAGGCTTGTTATAAATTGGCTGTAATGTAATCCATGCAAGCATTCATCTATACCCAATAGGAGTCACAATCATTTACTGGGTAAGTACATACTTGGTTTACATTGTGTGTTTTTGTTTCAAATATGACAGTGCTATTCCTTTTAAATTTATTAGCTCGGGAAAAAATAGGTACTTAGAACTTCTACTGTTATGGTTTGTACTGTTAAGATCTCAATGAGAGATTTATTATGGAATGGCATATAGAATATACTTGAAAATTATCTTTATTATTACATCATTGACCTAAAAGACTTAATATCTTTAAATCCTTTAAAACCTACTGCTTTTCATATCTTTTAGGAATATGATCTGCTAGTATGTGAAAGGTCCTTACTATATTTTTTTTTTGGGTAAGGACCAGTAGCACTGTCAAATTACACTTGTTATTGGATCCTTTTGTTTTGTAACTTGTAAACCAATGCTTTACCATGGTCCACAGGACTGTCCAATGGGCAGCAACTGCCAGGATGCCACTCCCCCTATCACTCCTTTTGTAGCTGAAATCTTTGGAGTCTCACTCCATCCTCCAGCTTCTGCCCTGCTCCTCAAGTCCCAAACGTAGTAGAGAAAGGGGTAGAAGCAAAAGGGTTTGCAGCCAGTGTAGAGGGAGGGCCTGAGGGTCCTATGTGGTGCATGACCCCTGGCCAATCAGAAGTTGAATATCCCTGCCCTACAATATGATTTTTTCTTTAAAAATATGTTTTGAACATTTATATTAATAAAGAAATTCAAGTACAGATACAGAAAAAAGAAAAAAAAATGTCTTAATAGTGATCTAAACACATCAATATTTAACAAATTATTCATTGACTGACAGTAATAAATACATATAATGGACCAGTTTTCATACTCATACCCTGCATTACACCTGTTATATTGCCTTTCCTTATATTTATAAGGGTAAACATATTTTGCCAATGTTTGTTCATAGGTAGTCCACAGAATATGGGGGATAGAGAAAAAGTGGGAAAGAAATACTGTTGTCTTTACCTTTATACTCCAGGTGGAAACCTGTAAAGCTAACGGATCCATCACTTCGAAAAGCCAGATGCATGTTGTTGGAGCTGCTTTCTATTCTCTCTGGCAACTTACTATCTTGAAAACTCCCAATGAGGGGGCTATTGCTGTCTGCTCCATCATAGATATAGAGAAAGTCATAATTTGGTTCTATACTGAAACTAAAAAACATTAAAAAGAATGGGAATATTAGATGCAGTATACTTGACATAATATTTTCATTCTGATCAGTTTAAATGAATATGTCACAACATTATTTCTGAAAAAGAAAAATACTCATAATGATGAGATGTTCCTGAACTGACAATCTATGACCTTCTAGAGACTCTAGGGGTTAGTGGCAGTCTGCAGGTAACAAGAAAGGCTACCGCAATCAGACATCTAATGTCTCTTCTTTATTGTCCTAACTTGGATATGTTGTTTTTTTAAAAACTTTTGAGCATATTTTACCAAACTATTTTCTGTCCTTGCAGTGGCAGGACATTAGCTTCCATTTCCTTGCTTTACCTGCGGCAAACTAAAGGGTGTTTTATGTTTTGGTCATGAAGATGATTCCCAAAGCTTTTAAGAATAGGTTAGACAAACAGTTGTCTATGATGATGTAGATTAGGATGATCCTGTCTTGAGCAGGGGGTTGGAGTAAATGACCTCCTTGAGGTCCCTTTCAACCCTACCTTTCAGTGATGCTATGATTTTCTTTGTTTGAAGATGGAGACTTTTTCTTGACCAGACAGACTTTCACATGCATCCATATGTGAACCGAGATTGAAAAACGTTATTGGTGAAAGCAAGAGGCAAGACTTAATTTTCATCCGCGTACTTTACTGCCTACATTTCCTTGGTTGACAACTAAGGAAATGTAGGTATTAAAGGCCTGATTCAACTCTGAGCTGGATGGGTGGGCCTTCTTCTGTAATGTAAAAAAGTTAAATATTCTTATGTGCAAGGGGTATGTGATGTTGTGAAGTGTTCAAAGATTTCTGAAGTGTTGTACTAATTTACATGACAGTGTTACAGATTTTGAAGTAATCAACAAGCCAACTAACTTACTAATGTTATCAATATAAATAGAAATTAATTTTCAGGATTGGTACTCTTACAGTGCATTCTGTTATGTGGAACATCAATTCAACTGGACTAAAATGACTTAATTTTCTCTATTTCATTCATTAAGACATTCATAGATATTCTTACTAACAAACAGTTAACTTTATACTTGGTGTTATGACATAAATTACATCTACCTAAACTTAGTTCAACATGCAGTAGTTCAATGAATTTGTTTCTAAATCAAATGATTCATGGAGGTCTCTGAACAAGTTTTGTAAAAAGCTTGTATGTGACATAGCAGTTACTACTTTAAACTTAACAATATCTAATTTACTTGATAGCAAAACAGCCAATAAATCATCATTAGGGCAATATTTATGCCAAAAGAATATACATGAAACACATGACTAAATATCAAACCAAAGAAAAGAAAAAGTGTATCTTTCTTTGTAAAACATACAGTATAACAGGGCCTCAAAACCAAGTGGAGGTTTTGGGAAAAAAGAATGTATATCAGAAACAGTTGCATATTTTTTTCTCCACAAAATTTCTCTGTACACTGATTTTCCTTTATGGATTACAAAATAGCATAAGCAGCAAGATTTCCTTTGCAAATTTTATTAATCTGCGTTAAGTCCTGCATTATGATAAAGGGATTTAACAGCATTCAATAATCAGGACACTATTCACATGAGCTATTTTTTCTGTAATGACACATGCTAACGGAACAACATCTAAAGAGTATTTTGCTTTAATCTCATGTGACTATCTCCTAAGTAAGTTGTGTAACTGATAGTCCTCATCACTGAAGTACACCCTGGCAGATTAGCAAAAGCCCAGTAAATAATGTCACACTGCCATGCTATTCTTGCTCTAGAGAGCATCTCTTTGAAGGCTCAGATCTGTAAAGGGCTGAGTACCACCCATTTCCACATTAGCCTGGAAGCTGGAAACTGAGGATATTCTGAAGTGCACAGAACTACTTAGTATTTCACCATATTGACCCCCATGTGTGCTAAATGCAATACCAATCTGACCCTTGGCATTTTTCCTGAGATTGCTAAATGGTAACTACTGCATAACTTCATATGCATTAGGTGCTGTCAGTTCATATACTATACAGATCCGAAAAGCCACTGACACTAATGAAAAGTATCATCATTTTATAAATGAGAACCAAGTATCCACTTACCTGATAAATGCTAATGATATAACATAGTCATTATTAACTGTGATAGTCCAATCACAGTCTCTGCTGTGAGGATAGGGATGAGGGAAGTTTGGTGAAAGAATAAAGCCAGATGAGCCTGTCAAGTTTCCTCCACAGGGGGCTATAAATGAAAGGAGGGAAAAACATGTAAATACTAAGCACCAGCAATCTGTTCACTGACATTCAGAATTCAGGAGTCCTCAAGAAGTTAAACAAGAAATGGTAAATTTCATGGAAGAGTTCACAAAGCTTTAATAGGAACACAAATTCAATTCACATTTCTGCTAATTACCACAAAGTCAAGTACTTGTTACTAAACTTCATATCCTTTCAGGTCCTTCCCACAGCACAAGAATCAGAGCTTTTTTGAAACTGCTGTAAACTTTAAGAACGTAATGGGTATTGTCATACAAACAGGCACAATAAGCATTGCATTTTGCTTCAAATTTCTATTACCAAGCATCATCAAAAGTGGCAGCATTTTTAATTGAAACAGGGTTCACCCAGGCTACGAATGCCAAGTCATGTATGTGTATTTCCAGCTGGTAGAGTTCCTCAGTAATTCAGTTTGACAGAACTTACACAAGCTACACACAATAAAGGTATGCTGCTTAATTGCAGCTTGCAGGCATACAAAGAAAATGTCAGTACATCTTAGAAGCACACTCAAAACAATGCTCTGTGTGTGCTCTTGAGGGCCCCAGGTTTTATGCATGTGACCTCTGTGGGCCAAAACCGTAGATGCTTGTCTTTCACACAGATAAAAGATGTAACTATGTATGAGACATGTAGATAACAAGTTATACAAACAAATATGGTCTATTAATAAGGGAAATGACCAATTTGTGATGCACAGATGATGTATTCTTTATGCTACGTCACATTGTATAGTATAAAAAAGAGTGCGTCTTTAAACAGAAGTAAAGATAGCCTTAGGATATCTGAGAGAATAACAAAAATAAAGAGTGAAATGCATTGGCTAGCACTTTTAGGTTACTTGCACAGCAGTAATAAATAACAGCAGTATATTTACCAATAAGTCATTCTATTAATTAAAAATCTTTAGGTATCATAGTTCAAATTTAACAAAATAGGGAGAAAAGAAAAAAAAACATCACAGGAAGATGTCATGTATCATTTTTAAAGAGCACAACTAGACAAATATTGTAGCCTTTAATACAGGGTTTTTGGTTGTAGCCATGTTGGTCTGAGGACATAGGCAGGCAAGCTTCTTTCAGTAGATGTGATATCTTTTATTAGTCCAACTGAGCAATTGGAAAAGGTTCTTGGCAAGCTTTCAGACACAATTACTGATCTTCAGGCATAGGAAGTCTCTGCTGTTCTTAGATCTCCAAGGAATGAAACAAGCTAAAAGCATGACAGGATATCCGTGAGAATGTAAATAGGTAGAAATTGGGAAAACAAAGCATGGAGAAGGGAAGGGAAGAGGGGAAAACTAGGGGAAAATAATGCCAGAGGTAAGTAAGGGAGACTTTACTGTAGCTGAGTTCTCCAAGGTAGAAAACAGGCAGTCTAAAAAAAAAGGTAAATAGCTGGAACTTAGGAAGGCAAAGGGTAGAAAAAGAGGGGAGGGAAGGAGGTGGCAGGGGAATGCAAATGGGAAGGTCAGGCAGGTACCTGGTGAATCAGATGTCAGGCAGATTGTAATGTGTCATAAATCCAATGTCTATAATGAGTCCATAATTTTTTGTATCCAGTAGATTTATGAGGTGAAGTTCATAGGCTTGTCTATGAAAGGTGTTTTGCAAGTTCCCTTTGAGGATTAGAGCTGAGAGATCAGAGGGTGAGTAATTGTCTTGTGAGAAGTGTGCACCCACCAGTATTTGGATATTTTTACGTTTGATGGATTTTTGGTGTGCATTTACTTTGGTGCGCAGTTGTTTTTTGGTTTCTCCTACATATTTTTCATCAGACTACACCGACTTTTCTCTGAGCCTAACCTGCATAAAATGAACTATGTCAAACAGGAGATTTTAGCATACCTTTAACTCTCCTATGAAACATTAACTTTCATTTCTACCTGGGAGAACTTTTACAATCTTTTCTCCTATGCCTAAAGAAGGGTGCATGTGCCTGAAAGCTTGCAATTTTTTTTTTTTCCCCAAAAATCTAGTTGATCGAATAAAGATATCACCTCTATCATTAGTTCTGATTCCTATTTTCCATCAGGGCATTGGGTGCACTGGATGAGATATGTAACATTTCTGGAGGTGCAGGTATAAGATCCAAAAATGGTGATGGTTCTGTTGTAAGATGCAATTATTGTGGGAGTGGTGGAGATGTGTTGGCAGATTTGGCATTTCTTGACCTGGCATGGTCTGGATCCATTAGGTATGGTTTGGGTAAGAAGAAGTTTGCTTGTGGTGATGAGGTTGGCAAGGTTTGGGTCTTGTTTAAAGGCTAGGATGGGTTGTTCTGGAAAGAACTCTTTAAGAGTTGGGTCTTCTTCTAGTATGGGTTGCAATTGTTGGAGGATTTTTTGTGTAGGTTCCAGGGAAGGGTGGTATGTCATAACTAATGGTGTGCAAGTTGTGGGGATTTTCTTTTTGTACTACAGTGAATATGACCATCAATGTAATGTTATAAAATCACAGAATGTTACCATTTTCAGTTAAAACAAGAAGGAACAAGACTGTAAACCAGAGGACGTTTAGTCAGAGAATATTTAAAATTTTTCCCTTAAACTAAAAGAATCCACTGGGCTATCCTAGCTTTCCTACTCTACTTTAGGCTTAGAGCCTCTAACTAAACAGCAGCCATGGCTGTGCAAATAATGAATGTAATTAATTATTGCTCCCTGCTGTTATTTTGCAGGTTGTGGGGGAGTCTTATTAACCCCATCTGTCAGGTCTCAGTATCTTACCAGGCAAGTGCATGTTAGGGGACTGTGAGAGCTAAGGGACCACACCAAACTCCAGACTTGCCAGGAGCCACCTGATCCTAAGTGATCCAAGCTGTGCCTGACTATGCTACTGGTTGCAGAAGGCAAGTCAATACCAACAATACAGTTGGTCAAATAAAAGATACCACCCACATGAATTGTTGCCATTCACATATCTCTCGGACCATTGCAGCAATGATATCACCTCAACACTACTGGTTGCAGAGCATCAAGATTCAAAATATAAATCCTGCATTTACAGAATTTTGGTTATTCAGCACTTCTCAGGCTTAGCGATTCTTCTTTGTCTCCGGCTCCCTTCTTGTTTAGTCCATAGCTTCTATCCTGACTTGATGCTACCTCATAGTTTGAGACCTCACCCAAGCTATTAAGATAGACCCTTCATTCTCAAGCTCTCCATAAAAAATGAACTGTTCATTTCCCCACTGTTGTTTGACGAGGTAATCTCCTTTCTAATCCCAATGGATAAACCCAGCAAATATGAAAACCAAAATTTGACAATTATATCAGCGAAGGGAAAAGAGGCAGCATCTTTCAGCACCAAGAATGGGTGAGAATGTGAAAACACAGAAGGCCTGAGTTCACCAGAACCTCTGAACTGTGGAATGGGTATTTAAGAGCTGAAGAGACTATTCTGCCATCTCCAGCTTCAAGTCCCACCTACACATGATTCCAGCTCTTTTCTGCTGGTTGTAAGGGGGAGATTTTACCCATGTCAAGAGTGGTATGGACCATGGGGGGTTTTGCCTTGCTCTGCAGCATGGGCATGGCCCTCTACCCAGGACCTCTTGAACATACATTGTCAGCATTTTATAGAAGCAGGACATTGGCTGCCATGGTTCCTCTGCTTTACCTGTGGCAGTTTTGGTTTTTAGGTCTATGTTGTGCCATGGTTTATGGTAGTCTTATGTAGAGTTTAGATTATGATTTAGATTATACGATGTTTTAGATGTGGATGATTCTGCCTTGGGCAGATGATTGGACTACATGATCTTTGGAGGTCCCTTCCAGCCCTACTTCTCTATAACTTTATATGACTCTGGTGCAAAATCAGGGTCACTAAGAAACAAAGTAGGCAACAACCTTGTCCTTAGCTTGTAAAGAGTACACTGTATTTGAGCTATCATAAGTATTCAAGATGAAATGTGAACAACGTTAGAATTTGACACAGTTACTTCCAGAGCAGGGAACTGTACATGTTGACTCAAGAGGTCCTTCCCAGTCATATATTTCTTTCCTGATACCAGTGTAGAGAAATGGCTACTTTAAAGATGTCACAAAACCTCAGTTGCTCAGTGCATCAGCTGTCTAGAAAATGCATTCACAAAGATTATACCCTGATAAAATCTGACACAAACAGAATAATATATGGAATAAAATGCCAGAGAAATATGCCACAAATCATTCGTGAATTCAAGATAATACAACTCTAATTGGAAACGGGGCAAGGGCAAATTAATAGAATCACGTATGGAGAACGCAGATTTTATATTGGAATCAGTATGTTATCCATTTTTGTAGAAGTTTTTTTTTCTTTTACAAAATGAGTGAGGGGAAAATAAGCTAAGTGCCCAATACCAAAATGAAAAATACTTGGATATTTTATTATATATTGGTGCAGTAGGTGGTAATAGATTTTTAAATCACTATTTCGTCTAAAAGCAATTGGAGCTAAACAACAGGAATCAGGCCTTTAGGAACATATAATTATTGCAATTTAATTGGACTAGTAACTCTATATAGTAATCATTTAGCTCTATGGAATAAATGTTATTTTCCAAACCCATTAGTATAGATGTATTTGCAATCTTTTATATGTGTCAGTTATAAAGATTACACTAGAACTAGTTTCTCTGTTTTTCAATTGCAGGAAAGAACTATGCACATCTTTGAACTAATCCATGAGTAAGAATTTACCATAACACTCTAGCATGCAAAAATGGAGAAAATATTGTGTAAAACTCCTTGAACTATGAAAAATGAATGTTCATTATATGATACTTGAGTGCTTCAACATGACCTTTGCACATTTAGACTCTATAAATGGTTTAATGGTCCAAGCTGCACCATATGCATATTGGGGTAGGAATGCGAAAAGCCTGCCTGAAGAAGAGATTGAGGTTAGTCACCTATAAATAAACTTCTGTGAGAGGATCTCTGTACATGATTGCCCCTGAGACTTTTGATGGGACACTTTG